ACCCATTCCCCTCCCCCATCTTGTAATCCAGGCACGCTTTGCTGCTCTGCAAACTAGAAAATATTAAGATTGAATTCAAATCAAGTATTTTAGAAATCGTACAGGTGAAGCCTAGCTCTGGTTGCTAGGCAACCTGACACATTCTCAAACAGGGACCAACTGGCCTCCCACACTTGACCATCTCTCCCCAGTGGTGGGACGCACAATCCCCATTGGCCTCCATCTCCTCTCACTGAGCTCCAATTGGTTAAAGAACCTCTCACTCCGCTCCTGTTGGCTCTCGCCGTCTCTCGCTGTTCTGTCATTGGCAGACGTGCTCTCGGGCCACCCTACGTCACTGTCTCACCCCACTTCCTCGGCCCTCCGACTTTGTCCCCGCCCCTTCACCCGCCCTCCCAGCCACGAGGGAAAACCCTAGCGAGTCACCGCCCCTAGTTTCTTTCTGATTGGTAAAAATATGACTGGCGGGTGGGCACTACGGGGCTACTCCGCCGGCCGTGATTGGCTGCTGGAGCCACTGTCCCGCCTCCCACCGACTCCCGGCTGTGCTGGAGTCGGGTGGGTCTGTGGCTATAAAGCCAGTGACCGAGGGGAGGTATAGCGTACTGTCCTTTCGTGGTAAACTCTCTTCTTTTGGTCACTGCCCGGTCACATTTGGGTGAGTGTCCCGCGCGGAGGAGGAGAGTGGGGCTGCTGAGGCGCCATGAGAGGGGTGTGTGTGTGCCAGGAGGAGGCGGTGTCCTTGAGTAGGCCATAGGAGCTCGGGTCCCGGCTCGCGATCAGGGCTGAAGCGTGGACCTGGCCCTGGAGACCCCGGGCGCCGAGAGCCAGGGCTGTGCCGGACTTTCTTGCCGGGGTCATAGGGCCGACTGTCCCGGGTCACAGAAGGAGCCGGGGACTCTACTGCGGGTCCTGCCGAGGGGAGAAGACTGAAGGGCGTTGAGGACCAGGTGTTCTAATGACCCAGTCAGAAATCGGAGGTGCCAGAAAGGTGGCTGTGACCGTCGGGGAGGCGTGGGAGAGGCGTCCCGAGGGAAAGAGAAGGGAAGTGGATTTGCCAGGGCGTTTCCGGAGCCTTGGGTTAGGGGTGGACGCCGGAGGGATGGAAGCTTGTAGATTGACGTGTGCCCTGTACCACATACAGAGTTGATGGACGGGAAGGAAGTGGGGACAGCATCACTTTTCTTTCCCAGAGCAGGCTCAAGAAGTCACTACCGTGACTTAGGCCTGGCCAGCTACTGGTGTTCTGGACACCTCTGACTGTGCTTGCTTGAAATCCAAGATTACTTACTGCTTCCCTCCTTTCTTCCTCCATCTGTCTATATGTCTATTTTCTATGTCCACATTCTTAAAAATAGGTTTCCTTGGTATTCTGAAATTCCGTACTTCCCTCCTGTTAGTAGCCTTAGGTGATGTAATAGGCAGGCACCCACAGAACCTTCACACAATTAGGTTTTGGGTTAAGTGAAGGACATTTCAAACATGTGTCTTGCGCTGACCAGTGGTAGAGAAAGGATTACTTTGTCCCATTCTGGAGGAGGAGTTTGGGGAACAGGTATTGTGAGGTTGTCCCTACTTGTTCTGCTTGCCCCTATGGCCTTGGCCTTAGGGCATCACTGGCTTCTTTGATTGCCCACCTCTGCTGCAGTCCCTCCCTCCTGATGATCTGACCAACCATCTGTAGTAGGATGGTGTGTTCTGGTTGCTGCTAACATTTGCTTATTTTAGGAATGAATCATGAAAAGCAATGGTAAGATAAACAGCAAAATTCAGACTAATAGAAGTACTCATATAATCAGATTTTTCGTTCTAAGATGGGTTTAGATTTTTATTACACATTCTGTTAGGTGGGAGACAGATTTAAAGTCCTTAACATGTACGTGCTCAACTACTTCTTTGCAGCATGAAGCATCTAAGTCGTTTGTGTTCTTTGATTTTTAAATTTTAGTTATTTCTGCCTGGAGACAGAGTAAGGATAGCATATATTATGAAAAGAGGATAAGGCTATCTTTTCCTTGTTTAACCATTGTAGATAGTTCTCCTAAATTGGTGAGTTTGCCATTTGTTCATTTCAATTTTACTGTAGTCAGAAATCCCAGTTCTCAGAAGTTCTGTCCTATGCTGGGGAGAGGGAGTATATTCTATTAGAAGTCATGGAAGGCCACATCACCTGGGCCTTGCTTTTTAATTTTGTTTGTTTCTCTTAAATATTTCTCCTAATTTCCTTTACATCTTGTTTCTGTGGGATTGATTTTGAAGTTTTGATAGATTTTCTCAGAAGAAATGCAAAATCCCACATATTGATGTAACATGGATTTTCTGGGTCTTCTTTGGTGATTTAAAACGTATTTGAATCTTCCATAATTCAGTGAAGCTGAATGTGGGGTGATGTGGTTGAAGCTCATTATGTATCAGAATCTATACTTTTTTTTACATTTGCAGTTGTTAACCAAAAGGTGGAGAAGTAATAATGGTTTAATTTAGAAAGGAATATAGTGTTATACTTTGATGTTGGGTTACTATAAAACCAAATGTCAGAGTCTCTACTCTTGTTTCCTGCATGGGGATAAAGGAAATGTTCTCTCTTTTTTTTCCCATTTCTTCCCACTCATCCTGTTACTCTAAATCCCTTTCCTAGTAAACTTCACTATTATGTTAAAAAAAAAAAAACCCCAAATGTCATAGAAAGGTGTATTAATTTTGCCTTAAAAAGATCGAGAAATTTGTTAACTAACCTAATGGGAGCATGCATGCTAGGACTAGATTCTTAATCTATTTATCTTAATGTTTGGCAGTTGTTGATGCTCACTTGATGTCTGTCAATTGAGTGTAGTTGGAGCAGTGATAGAAAAGCTAAGCTTCTAAAGCTCAGTCTTCATTCTTGCAGGGTTTGTTGTAGTGTGAGGGTGAGTAACAAATATTCTCTTCTGATTCTTTTTGGGCTCCCTACATTTTTCAGATTAGGATCTGGGAACAGTTGAAGCTTACAATTTGCTTTTAAACAGTGGTGATAAATAGCTAGTTTCTTTAAATTCTTAGAGACTGTGGTTTTGTAGCTCATCTCAAAAATAACAGCAAAAAGAATCTATGGGTGAGGCTGCTGCAAGCACCTGAATGTAAGAGATTTGTGCTCTGATGTTATAACTCTAAATTCAGCCACTCACAGGAGTGCCCTTTACTCTGAAGACTCAGGAGTATTTCAAAACAATCAAAATACACCCTTTCTCCCAACAGGAGTCTAACAATTCATATGGATAAGAAGACTCCCCATAACTAGTTTTCAGTAGAGAGTAGACTAAAAAGATTTGAGTGTGAATGACATTACCTGTATAGGAGTCCCTGATGAGAAAACTCACTTTCTGTGATTTATCTGGGAAACTTTCTGAATAGGGCTTTGAAATGTGTATAGAATCTCTGATAGACCAGTAATTCTGGGAAGAGGTGGGGATCTCCATGGTTATTACTTAGAGATCTGCACCAGAGTGTACAGACACTTTTTTTTTTGGTGGGATTGGGTTTGAACTCAGGGTTTAGTGCTTGCTGGGCAAACACTTTACCACTTGAGCCATGCTATTTTTGCCATTGTTATTTTTGAGATAGGGTCTCATGTTTATGCCTGGATCATGATCCTCCTAACTTATACTTCCTGCCTAGCCAGGGTGACAGATGCATGCCACCATGCCCAGCTTTTTATTGATTTCCAGACTGGCCTCAAACCATGATCCTTCTGATCTCTGCTTCCCCAGCAGCTAGAATTAACAGCTGTGAGCCACAATACCTGGCAAGGCTTTCTTAACAGATTTTGTTTGCATGATAAAGAAAGATTATCAATTTCCTGACTTTGCAATAACAGTGAAAAGATCTGCTTGTAGTTTATCATGTACCAGGGCTGGAGGTATGGCTCAAGTGGCAGTGTGCCTGCATGAAGTCCTGGGTTTAACCCCATTCCCACCAAAAAAGTTCCAACTCCAATTCAGTTTATCATGTACAAAAATATGTACTAGATTAATTTATCTGACTAAAAGTTGTTTCAATGTGAAGAGGGAATTGTGTTTTTTTCCTCACTACTGAGAACTAGTCCTTGTGGTCTGCTTGATTTACAGAGAACAAAAAGAGATAATAAAGAATAAAAGACAGGTTATTTTTCCAAAATCTGTACCTAATGCTATCATCAAAGAGACTTTCTTCTTTTTTTTTGGAACATAGTAATCTGTCTTTTTCTGTAAAATTCAAGGTTTACTTCTTTTGGTGAGAGGAGATAAATTTAATCAAGTAAAAGAAACTAAAGCCAAGATGAGCTCTTTTTTGTGTGTGTGGGAGAAGGCAGAACTCGGGGTTTTGAGCTACCAAGGCAGGTCCTCCACAGTTTGAGCCAATCCTCCAGCCCTTTTTGCTCTGCTTACTTTTTGAGATAGGGTCTTGCTTTTTGTCCAGGCCTGCCTGGATCCTGATTCTCCTATTTTTTATGCTTCCTGCCTTGGCTGGATGACAGTTGCACTACTACGCCCAGCTTTTTCCATTGAGATGGGGGGGATCTCAAGAGCTTTTTTTTTTTTTTTTTTTTTTTTTTTGCCTAGTCTAGAACCCGTGATCGTAGCTTTCCAAAAAGGTGGGATTATAGACTTGCCACAGAACCTGGCTCATGATGAGCTCTTAAATGATATAATTGTGTTAAAGAAATAAAGGTTTACCAAATAGCACCTGAATTGTCTCCAGTTAATCAGGCAAAGTAATCAGGTAAAAGGCAGATGCTAAACTTGCCAGTAATTAGAGAACAAAGAGAATTGTGTGTGTTAAACATATAAGCTATTGCCTAATGTCAAAACAGATAGACTGAAGAAAATGCTCCAAAAGTCATCTTCCCTAATTATTTCCACATAATTTTAATGATAATAAAGTTTGATCAATGCTCCTTTGTCTTTTTTTTTTTTTTTTAAGAGGTGGCACCGGGGATTGAACCAAGGGGTTTGCACATGCTGGGCAAGAAAATGGGTATCTTTTTTAGCACAAACACTAAAGGGGGAAATCGTTTTCTAAAAGGTTGGGAAGATGGCAGTGTTGAAAAATAAAAGTATAATATTGAATAAATGAAAATGAGTAGGTCTTGCTAAAAGCCTTTATTTTGTTTGAAATATAGTAATAAGAACTGGGATAATAATCACATTGGTGCTTTGTGTTTCCAAGCATTTTCCAAATATTTTGTCTTCTCAACAGTCCTTCACAATGAACTGGGAAGGGCAGGTAGGTATCTTAGCTTCATTTTACAGATGAGAAAATTTAGATTCAAAGAGGCAAAATTGCTGCTAAAGCTACAATCTCCTAAGTGCAGAGTAAACTCTTGAATGTGTATGTTTCTTTACTCCAGAAATTTGCTAGCCCAGTACAACTTATATTTCTTCATCCCAGTTCTTAATCCTCTAAATTTATTAAAGAAGACATCAGTTTTCCCAGCGTCACAGTTGGCTTAAAGCCTGAATTAGTGATATGATTTTACTTTAGTTCATTAGCAGAGCTGAATCTACCTGCTATAAGGGCTAATAAAGGAGAAAAAAGTTTTATAAACTTTAAGTACCATTTTTTTCTAAGCACATGCCAAATTGTTTTCTATGTAATGCGATTACATAAGGAAATGCTTATTTTAACTCACTTTGGATTGAAGTCATATTACTTTAAATTGTGTAGTGATTTATGACTTTAAAAGAGGTTCTTATTTGAAATTCCTAGTGTCCGAGGGAGGAAAGAGTGACAGACCTGGAGACTACCATTCTCTGTCCTTCTCACAGGTATGGCATCATGTCATGCTATTTAAAGAAAGTATTCTTTTCTAATGGAAGGGGAAAATTTAATGTTTATTCGAGACCAAATCACCATTTGTATGTGCCATATACTCTTAAAGCCCTTTTCAGGGTTATACAATGTCTTTAAAAATCGATTAATGTTATAATACTTCAGTAGACTAATTTTGTGTTTAATTAGTGTTCACTCATAAGAGAAAAAGTACATATGATAAAGTAAAACCACACGAACTACTTAATCAGAAACAATCACAGATAAACGTGACCACTGATAGCACATTTATTTATTTGCATATATTAATTATACAAAGATACATGTATGTATGGAGATGTACATGAAATGCCAGGAGCAAAGGCAGCTGGTCTGAGCTTGTTCTCTTCATTTCCTCATTGGTAGTTGTGAGTGCAATTTTGGTTGAGTCCTACATTCCAGGAAAAGGAACAGATGAAAATAGGGTTTGCAAGGAAGAAGGGAGGATTAGAACAAAATGGAGAGGTACTTCACTGTTCAATTAGTGTATCTGACAGTGAGCCTGTCAAGTCAGAAAACAAGGCTAAAAATCTGGCAGTCATCCTAGTCTCTCAGATATTTTCTTATTTTCTAAATCTTGTCAATCACAATTTTTGCTTTTTTTTTTTTTTTTTTTTGTATCTTCCATAGTTTTTGAAGCTATTCCTTCTTCAACCTACATGTAGTAATTGCTCTAGTTCATGACCCATGTTTTAATCTGGATATTGAATCAGTCTCCTAACTCAAATCCATTCTCTATATAGCACCTGTGGCTAAAATAGTGGTTCTCAGGCTTCTCTTTTTTTTTTTATTGTGACTCCCAGTAAGAAATGCACTTTGTTTTGCAATGCTGAATATGTGTGAATAATTGAAACAGAAGTTTCGTGAAAAAAAATTCTTACATTTACTATGTCATGCAATCTGATATTTCTTATTTGTTTTATTTTCTACAGTGTTTGTCATTTCACTCAGCTGATTCCAGGGTTGGAAAAATGCTGATGTGAAAATGGATATGCCCCATATTATTCCTTTTTGAAACTTTGATGGTGTTTTATTGTTTTCATGATAAAATTAAAGCTTCCAGTATCAGCATATTATCAGAACCTTCATGACCCAACCCTTACCTAGTTCTTTTGACCTGTTTGTTTTATCTACTCATTGGGGCTCAGGTTTCATTCTAGTAGATTCATAAAATTCTTTTAGTTTCTTATAGTGCCTTTATTTATGCTGTCCACCCTGTTGAAAATCTTCTTCCAGCCCCACTGTTCTGCAGTGCTTTCTTGTTTACCCCTATTTATTCTTAAGACTTAAGTCAGACACCTATAACCAGAAGCCTTTCTTCATACACTTTGCTCTGTTACTGGGTCCCGCTAAGTAATTCTCCATAATATAACATGGCTATATGTTGTTGCCTATTATTATTAATGTGTTTTTATCTTGCTGTCCCATTAGCATGTAACATGTTGGCATTCTTTGGATGAATAAAAAAAGATGAAATTCTTATGTTTAGAAGGAAGATTCAGCTGGTGTCCCTTAAGATCTTTAGCTTAGATTTTAAGATTATACTTTTAAGTACTTTTTTTTTGTTTTAATATAACTTAATGACTTCTGGGCTATTTATAATTTAAGGACAACCTTTCTGCATCAGCTACTGTCTCAAGAATTCAATAATTAACTTACAGTGGCAATCTGTAATTTCATTGTATCTTAATAGTATACTAGAGTTTGCAGAGTGATAGAAGACAAATGACACAGGATTTGACTTTTCATTTTTAGGTGTCAAATTAGTAGTAGCTTGGCAAGTACTATCGATTAGTGAATCAGTTTGGCACATGTAACTTGTAAATCAACATCAGTGAAGAGTTGAAATTCTGCCACATGAATAGCTCTAATTATGTCATATCTTTTAAAGGAAATTAAGTTGTAGAATTTTGGGCATAGAAAGGATTCTCCCTAAAACTGAGGGGTGGTACCACTCTTCGAAGCCTGATAACATTTCACTGCTACCTGTTCCATCTGAGTTCTCGTTAGAATGCCAGTCAAGTGAGACTAGAATATAGAAGGAAGGTAGTTGTCTTGTTCTTGTCAGAGGCAGCAGCAGTGGTGGGAGTGGGCATCTTGGGTTCCTGCTCAGCAGCAGAGGAGTGAGTAATGGTAGGTGCCACAGCTTCAGTAGGAGTGTGGGTTTCTGGAGTCTGAAGAACCACCTTTCCCATTTTGTTCCTCTAGCCCAGCAGACAGGTTTATAACAATTTTCCCTCATTAAACTCCTCTCTGTTGGAAATAGCTAGATTAACTTCTCATTTCTTGACTAATACAACCTTTTAAAGAAATTGATGGTCTGGTAGGTTAAGTGACTTGATGTAGGCTCATAGCAATGGTCTCAAAGTCTATCAATTCCTGTTACTTTTGGTAAGTAAGTCTGGACAATGACTGAGTTATTTAAACTTTGGGGTGGTCAGGAATAGATCTGATAATTGAATTATGTTTGATTTGTCAGCCATATTTGTAAATTGTCAGATTGTGTCTTAGTTCTTTGCAATATTGAAGAATTTTAATGTTCAGCTCTAATAATCATGTTTTAAGTTTAAAGAAGCCCAGTTTATTAGTGCAAGTCTTTCTAAAAGGCTATAATTTCAAAGAATAGTATTCCATTCATATAATTGCTACTTTACACATTTACAATTGTAAATAAATAAATAAATAAAATGTCATAAACTTAGAGAAACCAATATTCCAGATGATTGTTATTCTTAATATCTATTTTTACAGTCTTGAACTTGAAAGTCAGTAACTCTTAACCTAAAACAATGGTTTTTTTGTGTTTCTTTCTAAAGCTCTTTCACCATGCCTGGGTCACTTCCTTTGAATGCAGAAGCTTGTTGGCCAAAAGATGTGGGAATTGTTGCCCTTGAGATCTATTTTCCTTCTCAATATGTTGACCAAGCAGAGTTGGAAAAATATGATGGTGTAGATGCTGGAAAGTACACCATTGGTTTGGGCCAGGCCAAGATGGGCTTCTGCACAGATCGAGAAGATATCAACTCTCTTTGTCTGACTGTGGTTCAGAATTTGATGGAAAGAAATAGCCTTTCCTATGATTGCATTGGGCGACTAGAAGTTGGAACAGAGACAATCATTGACAAATCAAAATCAGTGAAGACTAATTTGATGCAGCTGTTTGAGGAGTCTGGGAATACAGATATAGAAGGAATAGATACAACTAATGCATGCTATGGAGGCACAGCTGCTGTCTTCAATGCTGTTAACTGGATTGAGTCCAGCTCTTGGGATGGTATGTTATATGCCTCTGTTCTAAAAAACCAAAAACTGGAAAAAACCTTAAGGATGAATAGAACCAAATGACCAATTAATTAATTTTGGTTTTTTGAGACAAGACCTTGCTAACTGGCCTGGGTTGGGATCTTCCTATCTTTGACTCCAGAGTGCTGGGATTGCAGGTATGCAGCGCTATGCCCAGCTCTCAAATGACCTGTTAATTATGTGCAAACTTTTACTAGTTGTTCTTGTTCAAATATATTCAGAAAAATTGGGCTTCATAGAAGTATGGCTCAAATAGTAGAGTGCTGGCCTTATAAGTGTGACACCCTAGTATTCTCCACCCCCCCCCCAAAAAATGTATATATATTTTAAGTTTTCTTCAGAAAACTTCCAGCTTATCTAAATTGTGAACTTGTCATCTTATTGTATAGAACAGATGACCTATTCAGAACCTAGTCAGACATTTTTCCCTTATCAAAGTGGGGAAGCATATTCTGAGTTTATATATATGATGTTCACAGTGTTGGTCACTTTGTGTAATCATATTTTTCAGGACGGTATGCTCTGGTAGTTGCAGGAGATATTGCTATATATGCCACAGGAAATGCCAGGCCTACAGGGGGAGTTGGAGCTGTGGCTCTACTAATTGGGCCAAATGCTCCTTTAATTTTTGACCGAGGTGAGTATTTGGAAAAGCATTTATTTACCTATTTACTTATTTGTTTATTGACACAATATCTTGAGAAATTTGAAAATAGAAAAAGAAATTTGAAAATAGAAAAAGAAATTACCACTTGCTGAGTATTCATTAGATGCCAGCACTACTGACTAAGTGCTTTGTGTGTATTACCTTATTTAATCTTCATAGCAGTTTTGTGAGATAGTTGGTATCATTTCCATTTTGTAGAGAAGTAAAATGGACTAAGGTAGAATATAGGTCGTGACTTATAGTAGTAACTTGCCCATAGTCACTGGCAAGTTTTGTCTTCAGTACAACAACTGTGACCTCCTACATAGATTTAGAAAGCTTGCATGAAAAAAATTATATACCACAACAGTCTTAGGACTGTCTGGATACTGTTATGTTTCATTTTAATTATGTTGGCTTCACCTTGCAGTTTCTGTTGAAATGGTGGGAGTTGTTAGATAGTTAAGGGAAATCTTGGGATAATGCAGTATATTTACTAAAATGCACACATCAAGAAGTAAAAATACCTTTGGTTCTAACAGGGCTTCGTGGGACACATATGCAACATGCCTATGACTTTTACAAGCCTGATATGCTCTCTGAATATCCCATAGTAGATGGAAAACTCTCCATACAGTGCTACCTCAGTGCATTAGACCGCTGCTATTCTGTCTACCGCAAAAAGATTCGCGCCCAGTGGCAGAAAGGTGAGTATTACTTTCTTACCCATTTTCTTAGATTTTGGTATCTGGAGGGCAATGTAATGTGCTGTGTCTTTAGTGAGAAGCTACTTTGTAAACAACCTTCGTTAGTGGCTTTTTACCATTTCTTTCTCATCTACTAGATAGCATTTTCTCATAATTTCTGGGAATGTGAGATTTAGGTGAAGAGATAAGCTTTGGAAATAAGTTATGTCTCTGCAAAAATACTTAGACTGGTTTACCCTTTGTAAAGAAAGTCATTTGAGACAGGCATGGTGATGCATGTGTAATCCCAGCACTTTAGAGGCTGAGCCAGCAGGATCACAAGTTCAAAGTTAGCTTGGACTACAAAGTAAGACCCTGACTCAAAAACAAAACAAAAGAAAAAACAATAACTTGAATTTTGTTCCTCTTTTGAGGAATACTTAGTTTTAGTTTACAACTATGATTTAGAGAAAACTAAGGAAAATAAATTACTAGTGGGATCCTTTCCCCCAATAATTTGTTGGCACAAAATTTGTATTTTCCTTTTTAGCGTCATCATTAATCTCAGTCTTTAACCCTGAAAATGTTCTCAAGGTACTGGAAAGAATAGTATTTGAATTGTTGCTATTATACACAGTGTTGTAGAAAATACTCTTTTTTCATTATACGCGTTGCTTCTAGAGTTAGTGAGAGAGGGTTAAAAATAAGTTATAACGGACCAGGCATGGTGGTACATGCTAAAATCTCAGCTACTCAGGAGGCAAAAATCGAAATCTGGGATGATTGTGGTTTGAGAACAGCCCAGGCAAAAAGTTAGTAAGACCCTATCTCAACAAATGCCAGGTGCAGTGGGGCACGCTTATGATACCAACCACATGAGACACATAGATAGATGGATCATGGCCCTATCTGAGACCAGCCTCAGGTAAAAAACTCAAGACCCTATCCAAAAAATAGCTAAAAATGGGCTGGGGTAGTGGCTCAAGTGATAGATAGAATGCTTGGAAGCCCTGAATTCAAATGCCAGGACTGCCAAAAAGTGATAATATTTATAATAAATATTAAGAAATATAATGGCTCTGATTAAGAAACATTCTAACAGTTTGTAAAATGTCATTCTATTTAACAATACAAGGGTATTTATGCTGTACTTCTTAACAGTATATTTAAAATGACTTAATATTTAATCATAGGTTTTCAAAAGGCCAGTGGTATTCTAACTTTTCTTTTAGGATCCACAGTAAGAAGTACACTTTACATTTGTATGTGTGTATTAAAACTTCATTTCTTACCCATGCTCTAAATTGTGCAGTTTGCTATTTTTCTCTGAATTACTGAACTGATGATATAACCTGCTAATGTATTATAATTCTGACATTTGATTATCAGTGATGTAGTAGTATATATTTTTCAGTCTCTGGATGTCTTTTATTCTTATTTATGCTTATTTTTTGGTGGTACTAGTGTTTGAATTCAGGGCTTTGCACTTGCTAGGCAGGTGGTCTACTACTTGAATCACTCCGCCAGCCCTGGATGTCTTTTAATATGCATTTTAAACTAGAGAGATTTCCTTATATTGGCTGTTTGGGTTGCTATTTAAAGATATAAAAAACAGGGGGAGAGGGAGTAGGAGAATGATAGAGGGAGTGATTTCAACTGTGACGTATTGTAAGAACTTTTTTGTAAATGTCACAAAATACCCCAATATGACAATAATACAAATATTAAAAAATAAAACTGAGAAAAAATAAAGATATGAAAACATTCTAGCCTTGTTCTAAAGTCAAGCTGTAAAATTCATAACATATTATGTAAATTTCATAGTTTCCTTGGTCTTCTCTTTCAGAGGGAAATGATAAAGATTTTACCTTGAATGATTTTGGCTTTATGATCTTTCACTCACCATATTGTAAACTGGTTCAGAAATCGCTAGCTCGGATGTTGCTGAATGACTTTCTTAATGACCAGAACAGAGATAAAAATAGTATCTATAGTGGCCTGGAAGCCTTTGGGTAAGCTGTTACAATGCCTTTTCTTCTGTACTAAGAACATGTTTTAATTTGTATGGACCTGAAAAATTTAGTCAAAAAGATGTTTTAGACGTGTTCTAGTCTGTCCAATCTGTTTATCTCCTTGAAGAGAAAGTGGGGCGATCTGGCTGTGACATCTGCCACCCCATTGAACCTCAGGGTTGACTCAGCTAATTTGGTTGGCTAGGTAGGTGTCCCCTTATTACCTCTAGGTTCCATCTGTGTCCCTCCTGAAGCTGCACACTTGGTGGAAGAGGTCAACCTTCCCTGATAGAGGACCGTTCTTTGGTCAAGGGTATAGATGAGTAGCTGTGCTTCCTTGCTAGAACCTCCAAAAAGCTCTCAAAGAAGAAATAGAGTCATAGAGAGGTGGACTCACCTACATGAAGTCTTTAGTCATTTCAACTTAAGATTTTCTAATTTCTCCCTTTTAGCTCCATTCTTCTTGTTACTACAAAAATATAACCACAAAAGTGCCTATATTGACTACATCCCTTCTTAACACTTCTTTCTGTCTCTCTAGTTTTTGTGCCCATATCCATCCTAACATGCTTCTAGTATTGAAGTCTGGCTTCATTCAACATCTTTTTCTCACTTTTTAGGCTCCCTAGCATGCTATGCATGTTAAATTCTGTTTTTCCCTACCTGTGTCCTTTCTCCATTTGATAAAATTGTACTCAGGTTTTTAAGGCTTAGCTCCTATATTATGACTTTCCTAACTAAATAAATAGACATGACTATGGTCTTGAATAGGATTATATTATGCTTGCTGACAATAAAACTGTAGTGAGTCTATTAATCCATTAGTATCCGGTTGTCTTTACTTGATTAGAAGAACTATACAACTGTTATAGCTATTAACATCCATAGCAATTAGCAGACTGCTGATTTAGCTTTTAATAAATGGGAAAACAATCATACACACTTATATATTTGAATGTTAATTAGGCCCACTGTCCAGTATAATAAAAATATAGTCTTTGAACTCTATAAACTTGTCTTTTTTTTTAATTACAAAATCTTCCAGGGATATTAAGTTAGAAGATACTTACTTTGACAGAGATGTGGAAAAGGCATTTATGAAGGCTAGTTCTGAACTATTTAATCAGAAAACAAAGGCATCTTTGCTTGTATCAAATCAAAATGGAAATATGTATACATCTTCAGTATATGGTTCCCTTGCTTCTGTTCTAGCACAGTAAGTATAATTTTCGCTACTTATTTCTCTTTTCTGGTAATGGTAGATTTCTAAGACCAAATCTAGTATTAGGTATGTTGATAGATCACAGAATATTTATCTTCAGGCTCTCTAGTATACTATTGTCCATTGACTTGAAGTTTATGTGGGTTGAGGCTAGGGTTCTTCCATAGTATTTACAAATCTCATACTAGTTTTTCTGGCTCCTGGTTTCATGGTTTCATAATCCTTGACCTACAGTTAACCACAAGTCCTTGGTTAACAGTAATTATTTTGTGATTTAGTAACTTTCCTAAAATGAAAAAAGCTGAAACCTTTTGTTTTTAGTTGGCTCACTGTAATACTAAACTGTAAGATAGATGCTTAAGAACTTTAAGTAAGCTGGGTGTGGTGGCACACACGTGTAATTCTAGCTCTCAGCAGATAGGCAGGAGGACAGTGAATTCAAGAAGCCCAGCTTTGGCTATCTAGTAAGACACTGTATTTAAAAACAAGGAAGAAGACGAAAAAGAACTTGAAGTTAGTTACAGCTTCCTACACATTGTAGGTTTAACAATTTTTTTTACTTAACACTTTTTTTTACCCTCCACAGGTACTCTCCTCAGCAATTGGCAGGGAAGAGAATTGGAGTATTCTCTTACGGTTCTGGTTTGGCTGCCACCCTGTACTCTCTTAAAGTTACACAAGATGCCACACCAGGTGGGTGAATCTATTGGGAACCCTCTGTGGTGAGTTTGCTTCAGCAGATTTCTTAAATGGGCACTTGAATCGGTCCCATAGATAATGTCAACATTTCAATATTTATTACATCTTTCACCCTAGCCAGATTTCTACTCTCTACCCTAAAAATCTGCCTTAACTGGATAAAGAATAGACTAATTTCCATGGGTTTGCATATTTAAGGAAACTTTTATGCCTTCCCTGGGCAGGAAGGAACAAAATCATTGAGGAAAACTTGGCATCATTTAAAGTATACCATGGATTGAGAATAGAAAAGTTATTTATAGTTTCAAATCCATCTATTTCCTCACTTTTCTACTAGCTGATACTGAATAAATGTTTAGTCACAGGTCTTAGGAAGCTGTGTCAAGTAGTTAACCATCTTCTTTTTTAACTAAACAAAAGCCAATAGTCCTAAAAGAGATGAGAAGTTATTTACATTTGCAGCATTTTGTTCAGGCTTCTTTGGGATATGCTATTTGTAGTTTTTTAATGTTTAAACTATTTACTGTTTTAGGGTCTGCTCTTGATAAAATAACAGCAAGTTTATGTGATCTCAAATCAAGGCTTGACTCAAGAACCTGTATGGCACCAGATGTTTTTGCTGAAAGCATGAAGCTCAGAGAGGATACTCATCACTTGGGTAAAATATTAAATTGTGTTTAAATAAAAACCTATCAGAAAGCTATAACAACACAAAATAAAAGATTAAGATAAGAATATCAAAGTCTTGTTTAGTACTAATCTGATATCAGTGAAAATTACAGAGAAATATGAAAATTCTTTTAGTTTTATTACCAGATGAATCATAACTAATTTTTAATATCCTCTGCCTTTCCTTTAGCCAACTATATTCCTCAGTATTCAATAGATTCACTGTTTGAAGGAACATGGTACCTAGTTAGAGTGGATGAGAAGCACAGAAGAACTTATGCTCGGCGCCCCTCTCCAAATGACCACAATTTGAATGAAGGAGTAGGGCTTATGCATTCAAATACAGCAACTGAGGTAAAGAAAGCTCATTGTGTTAATCCTGGTCTTTGATGGGATAAGAAGTTTTCTACCCCCAGATCTCAGGCTGTGGGGGTTCTAACTGAACCTAGCAACTTAAAGGGATGCCAGTAAAGCAGAGTAGTTCAGAGCAAGGACTCTGGGATTAGACTCCTGTCAGCTGTGCCATTTCCATTGGTATAAATACATGTGAAATATTAGATTTTAACAGTACTGAAATTTGAAGTAAGACTGATCTAGAGAGAAGGCTCATTTGTAGTTTGTGTCTTGGTGAAAGACGTGGAGTAGGGTAGAATGTTGAACCACTTACATCCCATCTCTCAAACTAATGTCAAAAGTAACAATAATAGCTATGATTTGAATCCCTATTATATGCTAGGCACTTTACTTACATTTTCTTATTTAATTCTTAACAAATTTCTTGAGGTTTATAAATGATACTAAACCCATTTTGAAGATGAGGCTTCAAAAAGTACAATTAGCTAGTAAGTGATAAAGTCAGGTTTCTAACCCAGAACTTTATAACCTTGAATCTATTCAGTTTTTCTGCTTAACACAACTTTGATAAATGCATAGTCTTTCTTCTTGCTATTGTATCAATTAGGTAGCAAGTCACATATAAGATGTACCAAGTAAAATACTGTATGGCCTTCCTCTTACTAACTAGATAATTGTATAGTCAGTTCACCATAAGGTGATGAGTCGGTATTTGGCCCTACTTGGAAAGCTATATAGAATATTTAGTATGAACCTTTCCCAAATCATCCCTTACTAGCTTCTCTATAGGAACTTTAGTTAATGCCATGATTTTTGGAGAAAATATAAGAGCCAAAAACTATTTTCTTTTTACTTTAGCACATTCCAAGCCCTGCTAAGAAAATGCCAAGACTTCCTGCAACAGCAGCAGAACCTGAAGCAGCTGTCGTTAGTAACGGGGAACATTAAGTACACTGTGAGGGACAAGACTTCGCAGCGGATTTGGGTTGGGGATGGGTGTATGGGAACGGTTGCAGGAATGGATATCTGGGGACAATTTCAGAGGTTACATGTTGTGTAAACTGTTATGTGACTGACTCGGAGCCTAGAAAACTATCGTGTTCTTGGAAAAGTCTCTCCGCAATTTGCTTCCTGTTGTGGTCTGGCCAATGCTGAGTGTTCTCAAATGATGTTAAGGGCTCTGTAAAACTTTATACCTCTCTGGCCATTTATATGCATGAAATTTAGTTTTTAAACATGATATGAATCGTGTGCTTCTGTCAAAAGAAAGCAGAGGTACTAATGTCAAATTTTTTTTTTTTAATGTAAGTATTTTATACTTTGAACAAACAAGATTACTGAAAGTACCTGTGGCTTTTGGAAAATTTTTCTAGTTTGGGGAATGGGGTCTTAAAATGTGGTATGCACAGACCCTGCTTGAAAATGGCAAGACAAACATTCTCTTTTTCTAAGATTTATAAATCCTAAAGAGGCAGAAAAGAGTTAAGATAGTGACACTGCTTCTGGAATCTGGACTGTGCTTTAAGTCCAGGTCAGCAGTGAGGAAAGTTGTTGTAATGACCTGAGCAGACAGCCGTCAGCAGTGAGCAGGCTTTTCGCATGGAGAACATGGTTCATCTGGGACCTGTAGGAACTGAGTGCTCCTGGTCTCCTCATGGGGGGTTATGCTCTTACAGATCTTACAGAGGTGTGCATAAGGAAGCTTATTGTGATCCTTCTTTGCACCTTATTGTAAAGAATAAATGAAACATTTCTTGACTGCCTTTTTAAATTTAAGATAGTAAGGATGGGGCAGGGCATTATTAGGTGACATATGCTTCAGTGTTATAAGTTCAATTTATAGACTGACAAATTTATGGTGTGAGAGTTCTTTTCCTTTTTGTTTTATGTGTATGTTTTGTTTTGTTTTGTATCTGTTCAATGAAAATAAGAAGTTACAACCCAACTTTTTACATATTCTGACTAGCCAAAAAAGAGTATTCTCTTTCAAGATCTGGAAGAAGAATTTATAAAGTTTTTCTTAGACTTTCACCTTAAAAAACAACAAACAAAACTATCACATTGAATGAATAAGATTGGTTAGAAAGTTTTTTAGTTGTTTTTGGTGCTGAACTATGACATGAGCCTTATAGATTGTAAAATAGAGATAGTTGGAACTAATGTACAGAACTAAATTTTTTAACTTTATTTGTTAAATTCTGTGAAGTTTCAGTTATCTAAAATAAACATACAGTGATAAGAAATGTAATGTTGCAGATTGCAAGGTAATATGTAATGTGGTGTTGTAAGATACTCTTGTCTAATATTAACTAGTAGTATTTTGATTTGTAAAGTTATAATTTGTTAAAATGCCTTCATTTTAACATCCACTGATATAGATTAATAATGTAAGTTCAGATTTAAAGAATGGTGGGAAAATGGTGCATGTAATGCATTTTTGCAAGTATTGGAAGTTCTGTATGTTTTGAAAAGAGTTATTTAACATTTGGATGCCAAGAAATGGGTTTTCTCAAAGTCCATTGCCGGCAATGGGCAAGCCTGGTAATACTGGCACAGAGCATTAACCATACACCTTATTAATGCTGAGGTGAATAACTTTGAAATAAAGTTTTAGAGAAATATTTCAAGTACTTGAGTATTCTTTTTCCATTTTGAACTAACAATTTAGGCAAGAAATTAGTTAATATACTATTTTTAAATGTGGGCGTTCAATTCAGTTCATTTACTCCTTCCAAAGACATTTGGAAACCTAATATAAGGAAGGCATCCTGTTTATGCCAGAATAAAATGATGTACTAATGTACCAAATATCTGGCCTTATCTTAAAAGATCTATTTGTTTAGTGTGGAAAATTTATTTTCCCCCCAGTGCTGGTGATTGTATGCAGGACCGTGTGCATTCTAGACAAGCACTCATATCACTGAGCTACATTTCTCAGCTGGAAGAATTTATATTGATAATGTATTCTTATACTTAAAGAAATTAATTCCTAAATTTGATGGTAAACATTTTATTTTTTGGCAGCACTAGGGTTTGAACTCATGGCCTTACACTTACTAGGCAGGTACTCTTACTGCTTGAGCTACTCTGCTAGTCTTTTTTGTGTTATGTTTTTTTCAGATAGGATCTTGTGAACTGTTTGCCCAGGCTGGCTTCACATTGAGATCCTCCTGATCTCTGCCTTCTGAGTAGCTAGGATTATAGGCATGAGCCACCAGCACCCAGCATGAACTTATTTATTCAGTGAGTTACTATGGTATTTTTAGGAAAAAGTAAGACTAAAAGTTTGGAGTTACAGAAAACCAAATTTTATAGCCAATTCAGAACTTCCTACTGCCAGCAAGAGCCTCAGCCTAAAAGTCCCACATTGCTGGTGATCCCAGAAGTTTTATAGAGAGAACTTACTTTGGCAGTAGTATTGAACTAGATAACCTTGAGGAGCCCTATTAATACTCTTAGGGTTCTATACATTAGGAAATAAATGAGACTGTTTTCTAGTCAATACTAGACACATTATGATATTATAATGTGTCTGGATTTGATACATAGTATAAAATTTTTTCTGAGCCATTGCCCTAATCTCTGGGTCAAGTAAAGCCCTCCTCTCTATGGTCATTTCTGCTAATTCTAGGATCCTAATCAGTAGGATTTTAAGGTCTCTGTCCTTCCTTGTTTCCTTTAAGGAATTTGTGCTTTCTTATTTATAGACTTTTCCTGTGGTTTTCTGTTTTTCTGAGTATTGAATATGTTTGAGATTGACACTAGATGTGAAAGCAGTTATTTTCGATCCTTCTGTGACTAAATTGAAACAGTTCATCTCTTCTCTGCTATTAGAATTTCCAGAAAAAGCAAAAAAACACTGAAGTAGAAGTTGACAGAGCAAAGAATGTAGTGGTATCTTTAAATTTATTTAATCTTGACAAGCAAACTCTTTCTTCAAAATTTCTAAAAACTGCTCTTAACTCACAGTTTCTCATTTTTTTCTTTTCTTTTGGCTGCACTGGGGTTTGAACTCAGGGCCTCACACTTGCTAGGCAGGTGTTCTTACCACTTAAGCCACTCCACCAGGCTTTTTTTTTTTTTTTTTTTTTTTTTGTGATAGGTTTTTTTCAAGATAGGGTCTTGTGAATTATTTGCTGGGGGGTGGGGGGGGTGGCTGTTTTCACACTGCAATCCTGATCTCTGCCCCCTGAGTATCTAGGATTACAGGGGTGAGCTACTGGCATCTGGCTCTCATATTTTCTTAATTGGTGGTAGGAGAAAATAAGTGACCTGTTGTTTTCTCCTCCCCAATTATGTCTAAGGCAATAATTTGATGAAGAGTATAGATATAAATCAGTAGATGAATTTTTATTAAAAAGCAGGGCACTAGTTTATAATAAAAACAATGCATTTTGTGTGCTGCTTTACTGAGTAGTACTTTTTGCCCTATAAAATTCCTTATTCAGACTTAAAGAGTCCTGTGAGATCTTGGTCCCTGCCTACTTCAATTCAGTACCACATTCACCATGGCTTAATGTGTTTTCATCTACCCTGCCTTTTCTTCCATTCTTGAACATGCCACGTTTCTTCTAGCCATAGACCCTTTGCTCTGCACATCAGAAACTTGGTTCTCACTTCAGACACCCTCTGCCTACCTTCTACTTCTGGCTCTCTTGTGATTGATTCCGTAAAGTCTTTGACTAAGATTCTCACCAAATGTTCTGGCACCTCCCTTTGGACTCTTTCTACATACTTCTTGCTTTGACTTCACTGATGTGGACTGCTTGCAGAATTTATCTGGCACTCAATTTTATAACTGAAGTTCAGAAGAGCTAGGTACCAATGGGGCCACCCTTGACCAATGGTGGGACATTGCTGGTGGGTAAATGCTTTCTCTCATCCCCTGGGCAGTCAGTTCTGAGATGCATTTCATATGACTCCTCATAAGATCCTATAGATCCTGTTGCCTGTGACCAGTTCAACAAACACCCTCATATTTCTTCTTTTTAGTTTAACTCCTGTGCATTTCTCCTGCATCCTGGGTTCATTTCCCAAATAAATGTCTCATGTAAGGATTTATCTGGTTTTTGGAGAATCCAAGCTGAGATTGTTGGTCCCCAGAATGGCCCTAGAAAGCAAACCCTCAGAATGGAAGATTGGATCTGGTTCACCAGCCAATTGCAAAAACACTCCATTGTTTGTTGCTGACAAAATAATACCCCTTACATGAAAGATATCCCTTCCTAGAATCTGAATGTTTGCTTACATGACAAGATGTGATTAAGGCCCTTGATATAGGGAGATTATCCTGGATTGTCAAAATGAGCCCAACCTAATCATGTGGGTCCTTCAAAACAGACCATTTTTTCGTTGTGATCATAGGAAGATGTGACTATAGAAAGCTGAAGATGGGAAAAGGGAACTATGAACCAGGAATGCAGTGTCTAGGAGTTGAACAGGGAAAGGAAGTGGATTATTTCCTAGAGCCTCCAGAAAGCAATACAGCCCTGAAAACACCTTGATTTTTAATCATTGGGACCTGTGTCAGACTTCTGTCTCAGGAGCGTGAGATAAATGTGTTGTAATTTGTTATGATGAGGGAACACTGATAGTGTTGGTAAGTGGGTGGTGGAAACTCGTGGCATGGAACAACACAGTCATCCTGAGAATCCTGTAAGGTGTAGGAGGAAGGTGAAGCACCTGTGGTACCTGTGGCACTTGAACAACGTGGTGCCATGATAGGCTGAATTTGTCCAGCCTTTATGAACTGTTTAGGAAGCCTGGAAAACAAAATGATAGGCTCAAGTCAGCTAACTACCAATTCAAGGAACACTGAAAGCCCAAGAGCCTATCTCCTGCAGTGTAAGGAAGCTACCTATAATAGGCTCAGAGTTTCATTTTAAGGTTGGAAAGTGCTAAGTCTTGACAATTCTTGATCAATGAATTGATAAAAAGAGAGGGACCCTAAGATCTAAGTTAGCATTGTGGATAAGCCTGGAAAAGTTGCAAACCATGGTTTCCCTAATCAACAGGCAGAAGGCAGCTCATTCTTGCCAAGGCTGCTTATGAGACAAATGCCTGCAAGGTGATGCTTGACCTCTTCCAGATCCTTTTTACCAATGCTTTCATTGCTCCCCAAACGAAAAACCAACCTGAGGTCTCAACACAGCCCAGTGGAGAAATGCAATTCCTGTCTGTGTGGAAATAGTGTAGACACTGATGAAATTGCAGAACGTGACTAATTACTGTCAAATACGTGTGGTTGTTGGGTCAGAGGTAAAAGGGGAGAGGAGAAGTTAAGGCACAGTAAGGGAGAGTTTATTATCAGGGGAACTTTCACCCATGACTTGGAGTAAGGGACACCTGAAGCTGGTTGCTACTGAGGCATGATAATGGCAAACAGTAAATGAGGTGGAGATTGTGGGACTGACTTGGCATAGTTTAGAGTAACTAGGAGGTTCCAGGAGGTGTGAATATTTGAATTAATCACATGAGACTAAACAGCCACCTAACTGTATTCCTTAGGAGGACCCTGCTTTCACTAAGGCAATCAGTGCACTAGTGAGGGGTGTACCAGCGTCTATGACAGCAGTGTCACAGCAGAAAGAGCCACTGTGAAACTAAGCGTGCTGTCACAGTGGAGGTGATAGGATTCTAGAATGGCAAAGGAAAGGTGGACATAATATAATGAATGTTAAGACTGGAGTGTAAATCAAGGTGCCTTGATCTGCAGGGCTTTGTGACAATAGCTAATAGATCATGGAGTTCTGAGACAGCTGATTAGAATGTTACTTGACTTTTGTAACCAAGAAAGGGAAGGAGGGAGGGAGAGAAGAAACGCTGGTAGGTAGAAGGCTCTGTCACAATGGGAAAATTATTGTCCTTTATACAGCCTCCAGATGTAAGTCAATTTACACATCCAGTGCACAATGAAGGAGAGGGCTGATCTTGAGAAAAGGCCTTGCTTCCATAAGTGTATATGATACACATACCAAGAAATTTTTGAGGAATGTTGATACAGTTGTGGCTTTACATGAAGATGGAAGCTTAGAGAAACCATTTGATGAAGGGAGTTCTGGCCATAGGACTAGTTCCCCAATCTCCAAGTATATATTCAGGATAAATATACTTAGACTCCTGATCAGTGTAGTAAGAGCCATGTGGGAGGATGAACCACATAGAAATTCTCCCCATCCCACATGGGCAATCACAAGGAAATACAGCTGTCAGTGTCACTGTCAAAAAAAAAAATGGCTGTAAAGGCAGCAAGAATAATGGGCTACACTGTAATGTCATTTAACTTATCAGATTCCTGAAAACAAGCAGATGGGTAATGGGAGCCTGATGGTGCACTGCTCTTAGTCTCGGTTGTAGCTGCTATACTGGATGTGGTACCTTTACTGGCACTTGGTATGCACATTGATTTGGCAAATGCATTCTCAGTTTTCATCTGCAAGAGGATCAAAGCTTCACATTCCTCTGGGATGAACAATGATCCTCACTCTGTCACCACAAGGCAATGTTAAGCCTCTTGTTACATGTCACAGGATAGTCCAAAAAGACTGGTCATCTTGACATTCTGCAGAATATCATGCTGGTCCACTATATTGTGATAGCATGTGAGATGGATTTGGCTATCAGGAAGTGGCAGACACCCTAGTAAGACTTACTGGCATTATCAGAGCCATAGAGTCATAAATTCAGATGGCACAGCAGTGATTCACCCTCATTAGACTTGACATTTACTCAGAATATGGATTTGTCTTTCCTGCCAACAGTGTACCGTCCAATACAATCATGCTATGATCAAGTGAATACTTGATTCATTGTCATGCTATCTCACATAACATTGTCTGAATGACTACTTTTTTATAAAGAAGGTGGGGCAATGAGTACATGACCACAGATCTCCTTGTTCTACCATATACCTCGATATCAGAAGCAACCAGTATAAAGGGAAGAATGGCATGGCTTAGGTAAGGCCCCAGATATAAGTAACCTGCAGCATTGAAGTATGGTCCTTCAGGATTCAGTATGCATGCTTTAACAGTGACTCATGTACATCCATTAAAATACACAGGTCTGGGAACCAATGAGTGGAAGTCGTATTGACCTATCTCACCATCAAAATCAGTGACTCCCTCGAAGGTTTTGTACTCTTCTTTCCCACAACCTACTCTTGACCAGATAAGAGGCTTTGGTTCCCAGGGGACAGAGGAATGCTTTCAGGAGAGGACCCACCATTACATGGTCATTTGGGTTGCCCATACCAGTGGATAAGCAAACAAACAGAGGAGGTATACCAATGAGGATTTTTGACTCTAATTATCATAATGAGTTAAAGAGGACTATTTCAGGAACTCAAGAGATTCACTGATGTGTCACTTTTGGGCCTCATGATAATGTGAATAGGCAGAGGTAGCAATTATGGCCTAACGAAGACAAGGCCACTAAGGACTCACTCTTTGATGATAGAGGTCTGGTTATGGTACTCAATCTAGACCAGCTGAAATGCTGGCCAAAGGTGAAGGAAGCATAGGAGGGAAACAGGAAGGGTGATGGAGGAGGGAGGTATGAGTCCAAATTATGGCCTCAGGACCAGCTGTAGTAATGACTTCAGCTTAATGGATCTCAAAGCCTGGCCTCTGACTAACAGCATCAACATCGCCTGGAGACTTGTTAGAAATGCAAATTCTTGCCATCCCAGATGCACTGGCTCTCAGGGTGGCCTGAGGGGTTCAAGCCCTTCAGGTGATTCTGATGCACTGCAGCTTGAGAAGCACTGCTGCAGCGCCTCCTGACCCAGTGCATGGAGTCCTTCCCGGTCCCACTGCCTTGAAGGAGCACACAGAGGGTGATCTGAGTGGAGCAGGAGGTGGATGGGCTGTGTCACACTTCAGGTCCTTCCCGCCACACTGCTTCCTCCAGCACTGATACAGTGCTGACAACTTCCATGCCATTCTCCTTGGCCATACTTTCTCTCAGTCCAGTGCTGTGTACTCTTCTTTACTACTCCAAGGCTTCTCTGATACAAAGGCCTATGAGGTACAGGGAACCCATTTGGCACTCACAGAGCATACTCTGGAAATGCAGGGCAGGTGACAACATTGGCTGTCTTTGACCAGTGATGGACAGGAGCTGATGGAGAAATCCTTTCCCCTTCTGTAATCTGGGCAGATGCCTGAGATGTATTGCATAAGGCTCCTCAGAAGATCCTGCAGCACTCAGTACCAGTCACCTATGACACTGGCCAACTCCATAATGTGCCTTTGTATGGGCTGTCTTCGTTCCCCTCCCCCTCCCTCCTGTGTTATCGGATCACTTTCCAAATAAACAACTCTACATGGAAGCCTTTTTACCTTAGGCTGTGTTTGGGGAAACCCAATCTTAAACCCCTACCTGTCTGGATGTTCTTGGCATTTTCCAAGAGTCACACCTATTTCTCCTTCAGCTGTCACATGGAGTTTGCCTTCCCTGTCTGAAAGCATGTCAACCAATACTCAAACTGGCCTTCCTTAAAGAGCTAATCCAGCTTCTAATATCAGATTGCTCTGCTTGGATTCTCTGCACAGCATCTATTACTATTTGATATTTGTCTTTTGGGAAAAAAATAATATGCCTGTTAGTGCCTTGGTCCTTACTAGCATATCCTGGCCTTATTCTTTACTGTTTCCTCAGCACTTTAAACAGTGCCTGATACATAGTGGGCACTGAATAAATAATTCTTGATTAAACGAATGATAGAATTTGAGAAGAAGACAACAAGATCCCAAATCAAACCAAAACCTGAACTAATAGACTTGTGGGAAGGAAAATGCATATCTCAAATTTAAATTTATTTAAAAATTACAAAAGTGTCTCCACCCAAGTTGTACATGAAAAAATTTAAAAGCAGCAATGATCTTGGTTAATTACCAACAATTTGATGTAATTTATAAAATTGAACAAAATTTGGATGTGTGTCTTATGCCTCTGTAGACACGAGACCCTTTCTTTAGGTCTCTTTCTTTAGGGTCTGGCAGTATCATCATTGGCACACTTTCTGAAGCCTTTTTTCTTTGCACTCTATGTAAAATGATTCTATAGACCCCTGTGATTGAGCTTCGAGCATCTCTCCCTTGGTTATTTCGAATATGCTCTTCTGTAATACCCAAATGTTCTAAAGTGCTTTTCACCTCATTTTCTTCTTCTTTGAGGGTGCTGGTTTCTGACAAATGTTTAGGATCCAGTTGGAAAGGTTCCAGGGGAGTGGGGTATGGCACCCCTTGCATCCATTCGTTGTTCATGATGTAGCTGATCCCATACCTCTCTGTGGGTATGGGCTGAAGGACTCCCCGGATGAGCCGCTGGCAGGGCTCTGACACGTGTGGGGGCACGGTGTAGGAGCCCTCAAGGATACTCTTCTTTAATTTGGCCACAGTCTCTGCCCGAAATGGCATCGTGCCAGTCACCATGAAGTACAAAAGCACCCCCAAGGCCCAGATATCCACATAAACACCGACATAGTGCTCATCTCGGAAAAGTTCAGGTGCTGCATAGGGAGGAGACCCACAGAACGTGTTCAGCATTTCACCTTTTTTACTTACTGTGCTAAATCCAAAATCGCCCACCTTCACACAAGTGCTACTGGTATAAAATACATTTTCTGCTTTCAGATCTCTGTGAATAATTTGGTTTTCATGCTGTGGAAGAAAACATGGGGAGAGGTGAGAATCAGTTTTGAATTAAAATACCAAAATAAAAAATATCAGTTGGTCTGCAACAGTGAGGTGATGGTGGAGCAGTTATAGAAATTCAGTGGAGATCAACTTAAATCACGTGAGCAAATTCTATCATAACCTCTAGCTTGATGTAGCACCAACACACATCCACAAGTAGAACAAACATTGAATATCTTCTATGGGATGAGGACTGGAGTTTGTCCCACACATGTGAACTTGGAAATTAGTGCCAGAAATAATTTCCAGAGCTCATGAAACTCCACATTCTGAAATACAATCAAACAGTACACCTTGGTATTTCAGATCTTATCTAGGGTTTTCTGACTGAGTGATCTCTTGATTGGGTCAAGAGCAGGAAGACTTGGAGTTCTCCTCCAACCTGCCAGCCAGGCTTCTCTGAGTGAGCTCTTTTATCTTTACATAATTCAGCAGAAGGGAAGAGGCTACATTTGTCAAGTTTTAAGCAACAGATCCCACAGTGGGTTGTGAGCACACGCTCCTTCTCACCCATGCACTCTAGAACCAGACAATCTTCTCAGGACCTTTGACCTGTTCAGTGTCAAGGGCTCTTGGAAAATGGTTTAGGGTTACTTTTCCTAAAGGGTCCTTTGAATTAAGAATCTAGACTTTGGTGTCTGACAGTCTGGTCAGTTGTAGGTTCAATTATACCATCTGTATAACATGTCACTTTTCTTCTTTGTAAAATGGGATACTGATAACCACACCTCGTAAAGCTGAGGTGAGAACTGTACATGCTGATCAACAGTCTTTGGCATGGTCCTTACACATAAACAAACTCAATAAAATTTGGATCTGTGCCTGTGATTCACCCTTCCTAAGAGACTCAATTGCTTGGGAGAAATGGCAGGACACCCAGAGTCTCTTCTGTTCTCTCACCAGATTACTCATAGTAGGTGTGCAAGTCAGGTTTCTTCTGTGTGCCCAGCAAGATGGCCAACTCTAGAAAGGGCACAAAAGAACCAGACAGTGTGCTTTAGGAGTCCAGGTTTATCTAAAGAAATAATCAGAACTAAAATAAAAATAACTCTTAATAAGAAGCAACGTGCTGGGTTCAGAGGCAGTAAGAGCTAGGGGAGCTCCCTGACGTCAAGAAAGTTCAGTGTGAGCTGCCCTAGTACTGAAGCAAGTTCAACAACAGCCCTCTGAAGTACTTGGGTGATGGCACACTACAGCCCACATTCCCAAGATTCACTCCTAACCCTGCTCACCATGTGCTTTACGGCAGACACAATCTGGGAGAAGATGAGCTTGCTTTCTGGTTCAGAGAATTTCCCTTCAGTGTTAATTTTCCCAAACAGCTCCCCACCCCCTGCATACTCCATCACCAAGTGGAGCTTGGATAGGGTCTCCACGACTTCGTAAAGGCGGATGATGTTGGGATGGTGCAGTTTTTCCATGCTGGAGATTTCCCGGGATAGTAGCCTTTGGGTTTTCTGGTCTAATTTGGTTTTGTCCAGGATTTTAATAGCCACCTTTTCTGGAAAGAAAACAAAAAAGTCAAAGGACATGCCGAGTTTTTGTTTGTTTTTATAGGAGAACAAGTGTTAAGAACTGGAAGAGTCCTGGATGGGTTTCTTTATTTTTCTAGACACAGAGGTAAATGGTGGCTCCAAAGTCCACAGAGCTTATCCGTGGGAATGACAAAGCAATTCTCAAGTTGAATATCAGTGCTCCTCCTTTAGATCAGGGAAGGTCTTCCACACACAGGATTTGGTGCCAACTCCTGTCTCCCAGGAGAGTTTTTTTGTTTGTTTTTTGGGGGGTTTGTCCTACTAAGATTTGAACTCAGGTCTTTGTGCTTGCTAGGCAGGTGCTCTACCACTTGAACCACACCTCCAGTCTCCAAGGGAGTTTTTAGTTGTGGTCTTTACCTGGCTTTCCAGATTAAGTCAAAAGAGCCACAGTTCTTTTTTTTAGCTCAGAGAGCCATTTATTTTTTTCACTTTATTTTTTTTTGTGTGTGTGGGATTAGGGTTTGCATTCAGGGCTTCATGCTTTTAAAGCAGGTACTCTAATGCTTGAGACACACCTCCAGACTATGAGAGACCTTTTAAAACCGACCTGGCCTGTCTCTTCAGCTTCATTGTAAGTCCTGTCTACTAACCCCAACTTCCTACTCAGCCTTTACTACAATTACAGATCTGTTTGCTATTCCCTGAAGAAGCGAATCTTCATGCCTGGGACCATTCTCCTATCTGAATCATTCTTACTATCCCTCGTTCCCTATTCTGTATTCAGTTGATTCCTGATAATCCTTCAAGGCTAGCTTCATAATTAATGATTCCAGGAAGTCTTGTATGACACCTGCTTAGGATGACCATGATGCCGAAGTTCTGGGGGTTCAGAGTTTGCTGCAATCTCAGCCCATTTGCCTGTAAATGTTGACTCCCCGCTCCTCTTCTCCATGCATGGATGAGTTTTATCTGACTTTGTCAGTGGCTGCCATGTAATGTAAAGTATCAGGCACAACAGTACTCAGTGTTCACGGAGTGTAGGTGGAGACAGAGCAAATGGCACAGTGTGGCACTGCACTGTGCAGCTGACAGAAGGATTCATTGGTACAATGATTCTGGATTGTGGTTTGGTGTTATGTGTTAAAACCTTAAAGATGGTCACACACTTTGGCCCAACCATTTCACTTTTAGGAATTAATTTTTTTTTTTTGAGTCAAGGTTGTTATGTAGCCCAGACTAACTTCAAACTCAAGGTCCTTCTGCTTCAGCCTCCTGAGTGTTGGGATTACAGGAATATGCCACTGTATCCAGCTCTTAGCAATTAGTCTTAGAAAAATAATCTGACACATATACAAGGATATGCATGTAAGACTTCTGTAATACTGGGAACAGCTCAAGTAGCCAGGTAGTTAAAGTGTAGTCCATCTGTCTTTATGATGGCACATCAAAAATAATGATGTTGCTCTGTATTTAGTTAAATGAAAGGATGTTAAAAATATATTAAGTGAGAAAAAATACAAATATGCATCTGGATAGAAAAAATATGGTAGGATATTCATGAAAATCTTTAGAAGAATCATTTTCTATTTGGTGGATCACAGATGGTTTTCCTTTAAATTTTATTTTTCTTACTGATTTTTTTCTAAATATAGAATGTGTGATGGTTACTCTTAAAAATGAGTGAATCTTAACTCCATAATAAAACATCATTCATTTTTTGGTTCCAACTGAGCCAGACTTTCTGGCAGGTAAGAAAGAAGTTACTACCAGGCAAGTAAAAAGGAGAGAACAGGACCACAAAGTGCCTGTTTGACCTATTTGCAAAACCACTGCCTTGAAGAACGTTGTCACAGAAGTTCTTGCCATGAAAATTGGCACTGTTAGTTTAAAATAGGAGTGTTACAGTCAGCCTAGGCTTCTGCAATGGAAAGAGGCAAGGTTTACTGGTGTCTGATGTGGTCAGTGCTTCCTTTGGTAAAGGCTATATTGAACAGTGAGGAGGCCAACCACAAAACAGCAACCCCCGCTCCACCTAGGGTTTGGCTAATCTCAGCAAAAGTACTCCAGTGGCAATCCTTGGGGCGTTCTTCCTCCCCTGGTTACATCTTTTGTATGTTTTACTCATTAGGGTTGATTCCTTTCATCTGTTTAACTGAAACTGGACGCTTCTGGTTTTGTGCAGGTTGTTGAGCGAACTGATATTTTAAGGGCTGGAATAATGGAGTCCACCCTTTGGTCTCACAAACTCCCTGTAGAAGGGTCTTCCCCTTGTTTCTCCTCCTTACTGACTCAGATTTCTATGATTATACTGGTCACAGTTTGCTCCCTCATCTCCCTAAAGCAACTGTCACACTTCTGTATATTTAAGAATCAGGTGGTGGGTGGGTGTCAGACTGCTGTCACAAATCTCCTTTTGTCACAATCCTAGTCTTCTTTTCCTTCCCATACCTTTTGTGTCCCTTCTCATCCCTTCCCTTTCATTTCCATGGCTCTTAACAAAGGCTTCCCTCCCAGGGCCAGAGCCAGGCAGGAAAGGTTCTATGACAGTGAGTGCTTCCTTAATTCTGTTCTCTAGGTGCCTAGATTGCCCCACCCTGAGTTAAGTCAAACTATAGACATGCCTTACAATATAAATGTGTAATCATATAAAACTTTCTTTGGGGGGTATTGAACTCAAGGCTTTGCACGTGTGAGGCAGGTGCACTTGAACCGAGCCTCCAGTCCTATATTTTAAAGTCCCTGTTTTTCTAAATTGTTGCTTAGTGGTTGAAAATATCGTCCATGAAGAACTGGGTCTCTAAATCTACTCTTTCAACACATGCTCAATGAGAATTTGCACGCACCAGGCAGTGAGAAAAACACCCCAAAAACCCTGATCTAGATAAACAATAGAAAGGCCTTCCTGAGTAAGGGCACTTACATTGTGAGGAGGAGGTGAGGGTGGTATGGGGTAGGCAGGTAGAGATGGAATAATAACACAAATGAGCCAGGAAATAGGTGCAGCACCATATCCAAGTACATTTTGCCAAGTATCCTTTTCCACCATTGCTCTGGAGTAATGGTTGACTGTGATTGACACTACTTGGTACAATGGCCAGTGGTCCCCAGCAATGACCCCAACAGTCCTCATTTACATCTCATTATAGTTGTGGTTTTATGCATGCATCTTTCCTCAACATCTTGGCTCAACATTTTGGCTCTGAGGACACCTTAATAGGCAAACCACTCCCCACTCCCCAGTTCTTGGAAAACTCAATTATGTAAATGTCCTTAATATAATCCTTTGCATAATCATTAACCTCTATGCATAAAAGTGTTTAAGACTGGAGGCTGGGGCACTTGAATGCCTGGTCAAGTTGTCTGCCCTCACTTTCCTTTGGGAGTGTTCTATTGCTTTATAAGATTTCTGCTTTAATAAAGTCTAGCTTTGCTAGGTGCCAGTGGCTCACACCTGTAATCCTGACTACTTGGGAGGCTGAGATCAGGAAGATCACCATTTGAAGCTAACCTGGGAAAATAATTCATGAGACCTCATTTACAAACTAACCAGAGCAAATGGACTGAAGGCATGGCTCAAGTAGTAGAGTACCTTCTCTGCAAGTGTGAAGCCCTGAGTTCTTGCCATCAATCTCCCCTGATAAGGGGAGAAGCCCATGGGGATGGTGTGTATGCACCAGCCTGGTCAAAACATAACATTTGTCTCAAGGACCTGAGAGGAGCCTGCTAGGCTGGAGATAGAATGATGGAGAATTGGCCCCAAATTAGCCTGACACTAGGCAGGGTGAGGTAACCTACAGCTTTGGATTCCTTTACCTTTACTATAATGGGAAAATCTAATGGGAAGAGGCTATAATCTGGCTCCCACTATAGGAAGGGCAGTCTGGCTGCAGGGCAAAAGTATGTAGAAGGGCAGCCAGCTTGAGAGCGGGGCATGCTTTAGCAGGCGGTTATTAAAGACGACCCTTTTGGTGGTGGCAGAAGACAGAGAAGAAAGTGCACAGATTTGAGATATCAACCCTCTCTTTCACCACATCTGGTACGTCTAATCCATGTCCTTCCTACTGAGTGACACATTCTTTAAACCCAGATTTGCAAACTCCAATGTCTAGAGGCCAGGTGGCAATAGCAAAGCAGAGAGCAAAACATTGGAGTCCTGAAGTTTACCTGTGCTGCTATGCAACTCCAGATGATGGTTACTATTTGGAATGTAGGCCTCATGTTGTCAACACTTCGGATTTTTTTTTAATGTTTCAAGAGAAGCAAGACAACTGCACAATTTCTATGTAAAAGCTTCCAATTATTAAACACCAGCAACTAATTCAAACTTCAAACCTAGACTAGACCAAGCAAAATATGTCTACAGGACCAAGGGGAGAGGGGCAGGAGTGGATATTAGAACCTAGAAAGAGTGTTGTATAGAGAAAACTGCCTCTAGAGGGGCCAAGACTTCTAGATGCGCAGTCATACTCTGGCTACTCTTCAGATCATGTAAATCTTTCACCTTTTACTAAACACAGAGCTAGCCTGAATCAACTTTCCAGTGAGGAGCTGGAGGAATGGAGGTCAGGCCTTTCTTCTCCTTCCACTGATCCCTTGCATGGTCTCCCGAAAGACCAAGGTCAACTAAAACCCAGAAGACCGAGATGTTATAGTCTGGGTCAGAAAGCAAGATGAAGGACAGAGAAGGGATCTGGAGGGTTGAATGGTGAACTTGGGAGGAAAGTGCTAGTTCAATGGGAACATAGAATATGAGGATGGGGTGTACCCCTAGTCTGGAGGCCTGGAAGATTTTTAACACTTTCCCTAGATCTTGATTAAGACTTTGCTGGAGGAAAGTAGGGGAGAGTCAATAAGAAGAGGTTCTAAATGCAGGGAAGGGTAGGAGAGAAGGTCTTGAGACAGGAAAGATATTGATATTTTAGGGTAATGGTCTATAAGGTATTCTGACTGGCAATAAATATTGTATGGCATTCACTCTAATATATGTATATTCATTTATAAATCATGTGCGTATACTATTAAT